CCCTGCAGGATCTGGGTTTGGGTCACTGCTGTGCCCTGCAGGATTTGGGCATAGCTCCCCAGGCCAGGCACCCTCAGGAGCTGGGGGAGAGCAGCAGATCCTGCTGGAGCTGGGGGAGAGCAGATCCTGCTGGAGCTGGGACACAGCCAGGGACACAGCCAGGGCTGGCCTCAACACTCTGGGTTCCTGCAGAGCTGAATAATTGGGAATCCCATACTGGTTTGGGGTGGGAGAGACCTTACGAGCCATCCAGTGCCACCCCTGCCATGGCAGGGACATCTCTCACTGTCCCAGGGTGCTCCAAACCCCGTCCAGCMTGGCTTGGACACTTCAGACCTGCCTGGGCAGAGAATCAGCCMGGGCTGCTGGCATCAGCCTGTGCCAGGGATGTTGTTTCTCCCCAGAAAGCTTTTCCAACCCTGGCACAGCTGGTGGTGGAGTCCTCACCCCTGCAGGGATTTCAAGGCACTTGGGGACACGGGGCAGTGCTGGGGAAGGGTTGGATCCTATGAYCTTGGAGACTTTTCCAAGCTCAATGTTCCATGAGTCCATCCTGGCTCACTCCTTCTGTCACCCTTGGGTGAGCTCAGGACCACTCACTCCATCACCCTTGGGTGTYCCCTCCTCTGGTCCAGCTCCCGGGGAAGTTGAGGTGCCCCAGCACACTCTGGGCTCCCCTGGAATCCAAATGTGGGRATCAAGTGGCCAAAGCTGTGCCCCAAGCTCAGAAAGCCTCACAGGAGCTCCGTGCTTTTCTTTGGAGTGTGTTTTATCTCCAGAGCTGGTTTTAACTGATTGGGTGTCATAATAATTACCAAAAAGTAGTTTTTGCTGGATACCTCTGTGTAAAAGCAGTTCAGGGTGCTGTGCTGCCTCYTGGAATAACAACCCCTTGCCTTCCCAAGCAGAACTTCCCCATTGCACTGAAAATGTCCACCAAAACAGCCACCACGACCAACAACATCGCCCAGGCACGCCGCACWGTGCAGCAGCTCAGGATAGAGGCCTCCATCGAGAGGATAAAGGTGAGGGCACAGCCTTTYCCCCCTCCTTTGCCTTGTTTTTCCCTTTCCAAGGATTTTTCCCTTTCATCCTTGTGGGATGATGGGATGGCGGGCAGGGGTTGTGTTTGTGCACCCCTCTCCAGCTCCACAAACCCAAACAAACCCCAAATCCCACCCAGCCCTGCCCTCACRCTCTGGGAAGCCATTCCCCCTTCTCCTGTCACTCCAGGAGAGATGAAGAATCCCTCTGGAATTATTTTGAAGCCCCTCCTGGTTGTTTCTAGTTTTCTGCAGGAGCCAGGGGGAGCCTTTGCTTGATGTCACCCCCCAAAGGGCACCGGGTCCATCCTTTCCTTCTCTCCCCGTGGATCAAACCCTGGAGAACGACCCCAAAGGGCACTGGGGTCCATCCTTTCCTTCTCTCCCTGTGGATCAAACCCTGGAAAATGATCCCAAAGGGCACCAGGTCCATCCTTTCTTTCACTCTGTGGATCAAACCCTGGAGAACGACCCCAAAGGGCACTGAGTCCATCCTTTCCTTCTCTCCCTGTGGATCAAACCTTGGAGAACAACCCCAAAGGGCACTGAGTCCATCCTTTCCTTCACTCCCTGTGGATCAAACCCTGGAGAACAACCCCAAAAGGGCACTGAGTCCATCCTTTCCTTCTCTCCTTGTGAATCAAACCCTGGAGAACAACCCCAAAAGGGCACTGAGTCCATCCTTTCCTTCTCTCCTTGTGAATCAAACCCTGGAGAACAACCCCAAAGGGCACTGAGTCCATCCTTTCCTTCACTCCCTGTGGATCAAACCCTGGAGAACGATCCCATTTGACAGCACCTCTCCCATCCCACACAGAGCTTTGTCCCCATGGTTTCTCTCAGCCCCTGTCCCATTCCCCAAACCCCATTTGATGTGTGTTCCCTGTACCCTGCAGGTGTCCAAAGCCTCAGCAGATTTGATGCTGTACTGTGAGGAGCACGCCAAGAAGGACCCGCTGCTCATGGGGATCCCGGCATCCGAGAACCCCTTCAAGGACAAGAAAACCTGCATTTTGTTATAGGGGTGGGGCAGAACTCTCCTGCCTGGCCCTTCCCAGCCCCTCCC